GCACAGAGGTGAAATTTAAAGCCATGGGACTGGGGAAGTTTCTTCTAGGTAGTAAGTGTAGAGAAAGAGACAGGAGGTCTGAAGACAGAGGCGTCATAACCTTTAGACTCCCGACATGGTCCCCTTTGCTGACTCCTTCTCCTTCCAGACCTCTCGAGGAAGCAGAGGTGGGAAAAGAGCTAACAGGAGGAGGAATCCCTGGAGCCAAGTGACAGAGGGTTTCGAGAAGGTGCGTGACCAATTGTGCCGATGCTTCTGAGAGCAGGACTGGACTGAGAACTGGAAATTTGTATTTGACAAGCTGGAGGTCATAAGTGTCCCTTATAGAGCAATCCAGAGAGGGACACTGTGGACAAAACCTGACAGGAGTCATTTAAGGAGATTATTTGGAGGTAGAGAACATGACAAACATCAGCAGAATGCTCCCACAAGAATGCTATTATAAATTTAGGTATTTGATTTAATAGTAATGGTCCTCTTAATTTCTTAACTACTAGTTTCTCTTACTCACCAACACCATGACCAAGTTTGTAGATTGAATTTTTCTTTGCAACAATTGTGGCAGAGTCTATTTCAAACAAAATGCTTTGAAAATCCTAATCAAGCTCATTCAACTAGCAATTCAAGTGAAATGGTGATCTAATCACCAGTCACTTTGAAACAAAAAGCATATGTTGCCTTTTTTATGGGGAAAGGAAAAAAACCTCTCTGAGCTCCTATTCTTTGAGGTAACATTTGGTAATTGGGTCTGTGATTACATTGGATTAACTGGAACAAATCACAAGCAAAATTTGATTTCTTTTCCAATAGAACAACAATTTCTAATATGAGCACACTTCAGAAATTAAGTGTTTTCATTTGTCTTCTGACAATTAATGTTACATTGACCAGCTACATTCTTTAAGTAAGCACTTCAATGGAGCTACTGTAAACATTTTTCCATATAACATGGTTGCCCAAATGGTAGACCCAGGAAGGAAACCCAAATATCTCCTTCCTCTCCTGTGTTGTTCTTTCTCCCTGCAATTGTATTCACTGTGCCTTTCTCCTCCTCACTCAGGAGTGAAAAAACACAATGAGAGCGGAGCTGTTATCACTTCTTCCCTCTGAGTGTATATTCTGGGAACATTCTGTTCCATTGACAGAGTTTACAAGTGAGAGGCTATTCAGATTGAACCGCTACCTCTTAACGAGTTTGTTTAAACAACCAAACACCAGTGTCCATCCACACAGAATAATGTTAGTTCAATGTAGACTTCATTTTTGATATACACAATTTTCTCCCTAGAGAATTCCAAACCCATTTTCTCCTATGATTTTATAAGGGACTCAGTTTTTTAAAAATAGTCTGTACTTTAACAAGAGTAACATTTGTAAAATATTCAGTGAAAATGGTTATGGTAAAATCAGCTTATTCAATACTATCAATTTTCCTTAACAGCTTTTTTCCATCTATTTTATTCTAAGATATCACCGGGGTGCAGAAATGTTCTTTCAAAAAATTGTTCCAGAAAGGGGGGATTTAAAATATGCTAACTAATAATTTCACTGTTTCAACATTCACAAATATCATTCTAATTTATGACTTCTTAGTCTTGGTTAACATTTTATATGGAGAATCAGTTGTTTAGTAATTCAATACAGCCAGCAAGAATTTTATTTAGAAGTACATGTCAAAAATAATACTTGTGATTTATCTTCTACCTTTCTTTGCTCTCAATGTTTTCCTCCAGAGGGTAGAAAATATCCCATCAGTCCAGTCATTTGTAGCCACGTCGAGCCGACCAAACATCTGTGGGGCAGTAACTGCTTTGGGATTCATCCTCATTTCCCGGTGTGGTTTTCCACAATCTATACCAAGTAAATCCGAATTTTACATATCTCAGATGTGGAGTGAACCATCAGTAAGCAATATTGCACTAATTTGTGGCGTTCTGTCAGCAGGTGCTCAAAATATAAAAAATGCAAAATCACGTTGAAAATGTCTTACTGCATTCCAAGTTATCATGATTAGCCTCATTATACTTTATTGACTAAAGCACTTTTATATCTTCTGTAATAAAAAATTGCATATTACTTAGGGGAGAAAAAGGATACCATGCTGGAAGGTACTAATATAATATAGAAATTCTCTAAATTTCACAGCTCAAAAAATCTTTGGTTTACAGAATATTAGATTAAATCTTGTGCCTGAAGTATCACCTAGAAGAGGCCTCATTCTCTCCATTATCAGCTTCGACTTGCTGATATGTTTTCTTGCTCACCTTGAAAAA